ACAGAACAGCAAGTTGCCTATTTTGTAACTTTACCATGTATTCAATCAACATCAATAATTTCGCAACCAAGCAGAGGCTGCAGCTTTTTTGTTGGGAACCTATCGCTGTACATTTGAGTCGTAAAGTCGGTGCAATACACAAATAAATTCATCCAGCTCATAGATCGAATAGCAAGACGACATCGTCGCAGCATATGCACAAATTCAATTGATAATCGTAGGCTCACAGACTCAGTAAGCAGCCAATTCTCAAAAGAGTAACGTCCCGCAACCGGAAGTTTTCAGCGGGAAACTTGAGAAATTAGAGTCTTACTTTAGGATATGGAGAGTACAGACCTAGTACTCTCCAACCTTTATTCATTTGCAAATTTCAAGCCTGGACTGACGCCAGAAAAGCAGTCACTAGGCCAGTCACCTGAGCGCTATGAGTATAATTCAACGAAAGAAGTGCTTCTGTGCGAACGCGTAGCCTACACCCTATAGACGTGACATTTTTATACATGAGGGCCGTCTCATGACTGAGGCACAGTCGCATAGAAATGCGGGTTACTGAACTGTTCTGTTTGTGTCTACTTCGATTGTTCACTATATCTGTAGATCTCAGTTCTGTCCATATGTTTAGCAACCCCGTTGTTGTCATTTAAGGTTATGGGAGTAGCCGCCAGCAGAGACAACGATGATTTAACTGATAATTTAGTAAAGCATGGACAAATTGTGTCAAAAGAAGTGGAATTAGTGTTCAGGTTTGTTGAAGTTTATGAACAGTAGAGACACTTTTGTTTTCTAGTGTAAAGAAACAAAGAAAATCTCTCCTAAGCTCTAATCGAAAATTTTTTAGACTTGTTGACAGAGGACGATTCTTTCCTAGTGAATATATCGATGAAGCCTATCGTGACAATCCCTTCAAGGTGTGTCGTTCCTAGTGTACAATCTAAGTTCTGCACTTTTCAGTGCCTTTGAACTATTCGTACTTGTTAATATTCGTCGTTGTTGAATGTTCAATTTCCATCAACAATCAATATCACTCAAAAACTTAACAAGAATCCGTCTATCAACGCGAATGCATAAATTAACATTTGGTATACACATCGATTGAGTTATAGTTGGTACTTGGTGTTGAAATCTCAAATGTTTACAAAATTCACAAGAGTTTTATTATGCTATAAATATAATTCTAGTTTATTGTGTTTCTTCTTCATTTTCGTATTGCGCCAGTCTCATTTCACTTTTGACAAAAATCCATTCAGTCTTTTTCCATTGCAAGATCGCACAAATCTGTCCATGCATTTTGAAGCAAATTAGCCGTTGAGTGGATCATGTTCCCAGCATGCAGAATGTGGATTTCGCCATCTTTGAAGACGACCTTTTTATTCTTTTAATCATGATTCATATTTAATTTTGATAGATCTGGTTTTTATAATTTCTGACACTGGCTAGTATTTGCTTGAGATTCAATTCCGAACAGCGTTGATTTAATATATCAGGCCCGCGTTGCATGTCCGCTTACCTTCAGTAGTGCTTAGAAAATGAGGGCAGATGAAAACAACGCGCTTAATGATTTTCATTTCAAGGGAGTTAAAAGTAGACCAAAATAT